GTAAAATGTATGAAGTCTAAACAACATTGACCAAAACACAATCGAACCGCTCACATTTGTTGAATTTATAAATTTGATATTCACCAAATTGCGTATTGTGTCCCAGGCGTATGAGCCAACAAAACAGACCATATGGACGAGAACCACTGTGACTGCAGTCACGTGCTGATTGGATCCTGTTTTGGCGGTAGCTCGAACAGTGACAAAGTGGAAAATATCAACTCACCGTTGTCTGGATCAATCCTCACTACGCGCTTCTCGACGGCATTCTCATCTATGGAATATTGGATTCTACCAGCAGATTCTATTTCGTTCGGTTGTAGACGAAAGACGGAAATCCGACTAGATACTTTATTTTGAATAATTATCACGTGGTATATAGATTCCGTTAAGGATGATGTCCCCACAGCTACGGACAAAAGAAAAACCAAATGCGATCAATAACGATAGCCGTAGCATATGTAAATTTAATATAGAGAGGAATGAAATTTGTTAGATATGAAAAAACCAAAAGTCAACCATTACGCGGAGATTTATGATTGGAGATGATTAAATTCGGCACAACAACGCCTCTAACAAATACACGGAAGAGTATTCTTTATTGAATTTAATCAGCAGGAATCTACTCGGAATTACCGAGGAACATCTGATGGACTAACCTCATTTAGTGCACTATAGAAAAAAACAGAAATTTTGTGAATTAAATTCAGGTTGATAATAAACCCGAACCCACTATGTACGGGGATGCTAGTGTGAATATTCCAAATCTAAACCCTGAGTAATTTAGTTTTCAACAGCAAATCTCATAGTGGAAACAGAATCAAACAAACAAAGAAACAACGCCGAATGAATTTTAGTTGACTACTACGGTTTCCAACCATTTTTGTCTGGTCAGCAACCAAATAGGTTCTATTCCATAGCATTGATAATTGTGATAACCCTTATGCGTTACGTCTCAGGATTGTATTTAAAACTTTGAATGCTAGAACACATCTATGGGTTCCTAGTGGACCAGCTAGGACACTCAGTTATACATCTTTCTGGAAAATCATCAAGTCGAATAATTGCTTCATGCAACACGAGGGGTGAACATTCAGACTTCACATAATTATTTACCCGTCTTCAAAAACGCAGAAATGCTACAACAAAAAAACGAAATAAAGCACAGAATTACTAGGTAGTAATCAGTTGTGCTATTTCAAATCCTGTGTTAGGGCTGACAGCGTAGAAGCTGGATTGTGTGAACGACGTGCCAGATGAGGAATGGTAGAATTGCTGTATGTCGCTGGTGCGCGCATGAAGGTTTTTGTAATAGGAACGTATGTAAAGCTGATACTTTGTTATGGGAATGAGGAAACGTTTAAATAAAAATTGACTGATATTTCCTTATCTTAGCGGTCTGAATATTTATTTGTTATCCCCTTTATCCGTGAAATCCATTTTTTCTAAATCAGTGCAGTCATTTATTTAATATCATCTTGCCTACTAAAAATGACCGTTCCGGCACGCTTGTCTAAAAGCTTTAGGACTTTCAGCAAGTTTTGTAAATTTACAAAAATATTACCGAACATGCAAGATCGGTACGGCAAATCCCCTTTTCAAATAGCACTTCAGGCTCTGAAAAACAGTTTCGTTGGTAATATTTGACATTCAGGTTGCTTATCAAGATTCCTTAACTGAATCTACAATTGCACCTGTCTAGCTCGATGGATTTATGAAAAAAATGAATCCCTCTATCTATACGAATTGATTCAGGCAAATGAATAATCACTTGTATCTGCTTATTTATTACACAGAAATGTGCAATATTCGTGAAAAAGGAAGGCTTTTAGTCAACAGCTACGGACATAGTAAGGGACTGGTGGTGACCGGAATTTAGCCCGAAACTTCGAGGTCGAAATTGCAGGATGATGCATGTTCTACCACCGTGATCGCGAAAACTCTTTCTCCCTATTCCGTTTTTTTCTGAACCCGAAGGAAGTTACTTTCGTAAAGACCTACAATGTAAACCAGCAAAGGTTGATTTCAAACAAATATATTGGTTTTATCAGATGGGATCGGAAATTGAGAGCCATTTGGGGATCAATATACAAGTCGTGTGAATTCATCTGGCTGTCTGAGATATCTCTTCAGTGCTTTCATGAGAGCCCTCATATATTCGGTTGCAATTTTACCACATGAACAGCCTCTGCCTACTACATATCAGTAGCGTGGAACTCTTTGTTTGTTTTGCTTAAACCTTTCACGCCTGAAATACTTCAATGAGTGAAATTCAGGGGAATGCTTCACTCAAACTTATTGTCCACTAAGTCCAATACACCATTGAGTTTTTTCCTTCCTATTGTGCTTCACGTAATTTGTCTTCTAATAGAAAATCACAGTATTCAGTGAAAACTGTCACCGTTGTTTAACCAGAAGATTTCGCCTGCAATAGCCATTTTTTGGATGAGGAAATAAATAATCTAACTGGTTCATTTCGTCTTGCGGTCATCAACCCCGAAATTCCGTGCTCTGGTTTCGGTTCTTACTTGCCATCCTGAATTCCAGGGTTGCATGATGATACACGTTTTCCGCAGAACATCGTGATTGACTGACTTTTGGAAAGACCATTTATACTACTGTAGTGAGATGGCGATGAATGTCGATCACTGGTGTTCACAAAATGCCTCATAATCACTCAACCAAACAGACCCCACATTTTACTCGGTCCCGTTACCAGGGTTGTCAAAAATGTAATATGCCGATTGCGCTTTTCTTTCGTGGGGTTTGTACGTACACGACCTGTGAAGACGAGAAGAATAAACCGAGCGAGAAGTAATACTTACCCCAATAGAGATGGGCGTGGCCATATATGTTTGGGGATGTTACAGCTAATTCTTGTCTTGTTCGTGTAGGTACAACCAAACACAGAAGTAATTCCTGATTCATGCTCTTTACGACCACTGTTTAATCCAAGTCATTCTATGAAGAAGCGGATAGCCTTTGGTGGTGTTGTTTGTTGGGCAAGTGGGTTATCATGATTGAAGTAGTCCATTGATGCATTTGTCAAATTGTGCGCATGAGTTGTTCCTCATTGTTTTACATCACTTAAAATTGTGATCATTACTACAGTGGCTCGTATTCCACTTCGTCATGGAGCCTTGTCCAATATGTTTTGTTTGGGGATGTTGGAAGAGATCGGGTATCAAGAAACTTCACTGTTTATCAACCAACAAACTCCCATATAGCGTCGTTCAAACGAAATTTGGTATCTTATTAGCAGTGATCATGCCAGTTCAATCCTGTTCAAGAAACAAACACTTTTCTGAGGTGAGTGAGACTTAGTATTTCGTTTACTTGATCCTTACCCGATTTCTTACATCTGAATCCATGGCTTGCACTGAAGATAATTGATTCCGCCGGATTTTTGCAGGTAAAATTCGATGTGGTTGCGAGATGAGGGCCACGGATCTGAAAAATACATGCTAGTTGCAGGTTAACCCCTAACGTGAACCATAGTCATCAACATGGTTAATCTTTAGAGAGCAAATAAATGATACGCTGTAAATTATAATGGTCCTCCAGCAGGTGTTTCCAAAGCAAAGGTATGCTCGTTACAGTAGTAATGGTCAAAAGTTGAATCATAATGAGCCTGTTAATTTTCAGATACCGAGGGGTTTCACTGAATTGACTAGAATAACTAAAACTATGCTGTATGGTAATCAAAGCCAAACTAAGGCCTGGATGATGACAGTAGCTATCGGTTTTGATTATATTAGGTCCGATAATATTCCAGGGGCTTGAGCACTGCACTATGAAACACTCTGTTGGAGTTCCGGAAAAAGGAGTCATGAAGATAAAAAAAGACGCGGCCCACCTAAAATGCCTGACGGGCTCAGAAAATATAAGGTTAGGGATGACTTTGACTGAAACTGAATATCGAATAATAAATTCATGAAATTTATAGTATTCCATCAGCTGTATTTGCCTTCACAAGCATTATCAATTTTTTAAAGGGAAATATTGAAAGGGTGAAATACAAAAGAACTGTGTCTGCATGAATTTCTGCTCAGTATTTCTTTTCATACTGTATATATATAAAGTCAAAATCGGATGCTTAGCTTAGGTATATTCTTAGTGACAAGGAGTTACCAGGGACTTTTGATTACATTGCTATGAAGTATGAATTGCAGGTCCAGTTTCAGTGGACATGTTTACATATGAACAGTATACATAATTTATCATACGTGAATATGTTTCAAAGCTGTTCGATTTCTCTCATAGATTACTGAACATTAGTAAATGTAATTTCTTGTTTTTCAAATAATGATGATTACTCAATTAGACAATAAGTGAATGGTATCAGTAACGGTTTTTTATTTATTGATAATTTCTTACTCAGTTTGTAAATTATAATGAAACGCTACTTGTCAAAACGGAGAAAGATTCAACTAATTCAACTCATGTAATTCTCGTATTTGCTTGAAGTAGTTTTATTGTCCATGTTCATGACAGTTCATCACACGGTTCGACTACTTTCGGAGAATTCCTCCACTCATGTTAATGATGTCAGGTATTTTCTGCTTTCCATTCTGTAAACAAAGGGTGCAGGAGCACTGATTCCAAATGATTATTCAGACACGTTTTCGATGGAATGTTGAACGTGCTTCCAACCAGGTCAGTTTGCGCACCATGATTCGTCTGATATTCTGCTATTCTGGTAGGCGTAAACCGATAACATCTGTTACAGCAGTGGATAGACTAGTCGGTTCGTGTGTCTCTACTGTTAAATGGTAGGCGTTAATGGACAACAGCCGTTGCAACAGTTGACAGATTAGTCGGCTGGTGTGTCTGTACTGTTAAATTGAATTATGGTGCTTATAAGAAGGGTACCAAGTGCATACACAAGGTAGTCTGTGCCGTCTGAACACTGCCAGTTTTCTCTCGTGGGTCAGGAATTTTATTCTACTATGAGATCTTCATTTGGTGTATGGCTTATCGTTTACCTTGAATATTTGCGCATGACGAAGTATGCAGAGGCCATATGTGAGTATGAATTCATTATTGATTCTTACTTCTAATCCGTGTCGAACACCAAATGACATCTCCATTTTTATGTTGTTACAGACACCTTGAAAGGTCATATACTGGGTGAGGTTATCCTACGAGTAGCCATATTTTACCATTACTTTTCTGTCAATCTTTTTATTATCAAAATGACCCACCCATCCCATCCTCTCAGGTACCTGACAATATCGTAAAATCTGTTTTCTCTTCCAATACGACCCAGAATATGAAATGGATTATTTCATACCCAATTGCGGATCTGTAAACCTTCCTTTAAACGAAATCATTACCTTGATGAAAACCACGTCCATCTGTGAAGTGGTAAGTGAGAAATGCTTTTGCTTGTATTGTGATAATGCGAGTAACTCAGTTTTTGTAGCCATCATATCAACGAAGTTTCACATTTCAGATTACCGAGGCTATTTGGAAAATGGACTGGCACTGGATGATCGGTTATATTGGATGTCAAGTGGAATTTCAAGTGAACTGGAATGGAACAATCAAAGTGTTTTTCTTCCTTAAAGAAATGGGCACGGATTTTCGTGAACAATGTTTATCTGCTTCGGCAACAAATTTCAATCAGTTGATTCAAGAGCAATTCAAGTTATCTGGCACGCGATTCTCGGAAGTTATCAAAACCAAAAGTAACGAAGCCCAAAATGAGGTCATGTTTTTCGTTGATCCAAGTGACCCAGTTAATGTGATGTACCAAACTGAGTGTAAATTGTTCGTCCAAATGCTTGACTAAATGTCATGAATGTGGTAGCCATAAATAGTATACTGCGCAACATTTTTGAGAATAAGGTGGTAGGATTGCAATTGCACTGAAATTGCAATAGGCTATGCAAATTGAAAAATAGAATTAGGCAGGTATATTACTCATTATTGTTTTATCCTCAGGAGCTGCAATAAACCGCGATGCATTAGGTAAGTATCTGGTCACTATGTGCTCCGGTGTCTTCGGTTACGTACCTTCATAATAAACTTGTAAAATCTTTCTCTTACCTGACAAGACTATAAAACCATAGGGTCTTCATAATGTACATTCCAACAAAGAATTGATAATCAGACCAGATATCTCTGACATAGTTCATAATTGTAGCAGATGACTATTATTTTGAGTACATGGTTTATTGGACATATCCAAACTGATTACCAGTTTATAGACAGGCCTTTACGTATACACTTTCCGTATGGAAGGAAGTATTGCAGTACACAGCGATAAAAAAAATGTCTTTTAAGAAACAAATAATATTGGAGGTGAGAAAACGTTTCTTTGCAATCTGACTAAAAACGTTTTACAGCTAGTTTTTTAATTGAGAATTCAATGTTGTGCATTCGTTCAACATTAATATCTTAAGTATCAAGCGACGGTTTCATTAAATTTCGTTTGCTCTTTTAGAGAATGATCAACAGTGATTCTCATTCGACGGAGTGGTTTTTGGTATCAATCATACTGTGAACAGATTCGAAAGATCTTTTATTGGAAACATGGTTTGCAAGAAGCAGTTTGCTATTCAGAACATATTTCACTAGAAATGAATTGCTCGTTTTTCGAACATTATTAAGAGTTTATTGTGCTTTGTTAGTAGTAACCGACGGGTACTTATGAAAACTCTATTCGGTGCACACAATTAGGAAGAAGTTGCTGAATGCGTGACGATGGACTGAATCTGAAATCAACAAGCACAAAGTGCTTAGGAAAAATCTTCTGTACCTCAGTCACTGGTTTACCGTTTTCTTCCAATTATATCAATACACTGCAGATGGAACGGTGTTCTAGGAACGAGCAAAATAAAAAAATGCCCCATAGTCGGCTGTTCATATACTGGCTTTGGGGTTTCGAAGGACGCAATGTTTATGTGAACATATGGGTGAACGAATCCAAGGGAAGAAATACAGAAAAAAATGTACAGGACCTTTTCACGGAATGTGCTGGCGAACTTGAGCATACTAGACCCACCGGTGAGTAAAACGTGTTCGTACAATGAAGTAAATTTGTTAGCTCTCATGACTTTCATGAATAGAGACATCGACAGAAAATGGCATGTGCATATAATGACACCATTTCTGGTGAAAAGCAATATTATGCCAGAAAATTGTGGCAGTTTACGTATCAGGACAATCAAGAGCACAATAAGGATTCGTTATATTTTCAGCGAAATTAGTGAAGAGCGTGGTTTTATTATTTTTGGATGTGAGATTACCTGCCAAGTAGTGGAAAGTGTGAATAACGCCATACACACGATGTTCTTTGGGGAAATTACCCGACGAATTCGAAAAAGAAAGCAATCCTGCTAGCGTTTCCCCTCGTATTTTACAATACATAATCAAATAAGTGTGCTATTTTAAAAGTCCCCGTACAAGGAGAAAAAATATATGATATTTCGACACAAATCGATCTCAAAAAGCATTTACCAAATAGTCAATGAATTCATGTTCTGTCTTTGTTTGCTTGCAAATTACCGTTATCCAAAAAAATAACGAGAATTATTCAACATCATGTGTACACTTTATTCTGCACAATCGTTTAGAGATAGATGAAAGGCATCTGCTGCAAATTCAGTGTCAGTCAAGTGACCTAGGTGAGCAAATGTGATATCGTATGATCACCAATTTCCCATTTAAAATTCATAACGCGTTATTCAATTGTTTCTACATCTGACTCCAACTTTGCTTTAGCAGATAGCAAAACCAGTCAAAGAGCGACTGAAATTTTAAAAAATCAGGGTACGTCTTGTTAGAATTTTGGTAATGATGGTTGTTGAATTACTCGTAATTCCCCAAATTATGTGATACAGTCTGATCGTTCTGAAGATAGAAAAATGTACAATGTGCTCAACAACAATAGTCAACGCAACTAAATACTTTGAACTTCTTCTTCAACTTAGATGGAGAAATTAGAATTCCCTGCTCCGATGAAGATAATCAAACAACCCTAATACCTAACAACCCCGAAGAGGGTGAGTCAGCTTGTTAAACATACTTGGACTCATCTCTTTTACATAGTTCATCGGCCAACATGGGAAGTTGATGTTCGGTCTCAACAGATGTTTTATTGCAAAATATTCGTTGAACTCCTGGTTTTCTCATCTCTAACGAATATGGCATGTTTATTTCACTGGATTACACTATTATTTTTCTGCATTTTAGTAACGCTTTTGCAAACGACAGTCTCGGATAGCACGATAACAGAAAACAAGGGTTCCACATGGAGCGATTTGATTTCACTCTGTACGATTCTTCCATTACTTTTGTTATTATTTCAATGATTTTCTTCGATTTATCCTAAGCTGAACACATTCTTCAATATGGAACCAAATGAGTTGCAAATCTCAACCTTAGTTTTTACATTTACCCATTTTAAGGGAAATAATACAATTGTCTGGTAGCCTTGAAAACCCTTGTTATTTTAACCTGTTGGTTGTCGACATCCGTTTTGGAGATGTAGCTGGCAGTTTTGTATGAAACACCGACCACTCAACAAATGCGGTGCATTTCTTGGGTGAGAGAGAGGTTGCGGAAATCGTTGAAATTTGTGGGGCTGAAACGTGATTAACAGCAAAGGCTGTGTGAAGGTAGGAAGACAGAAAAAAGTGGTGCACCTTAAGTTGACGGTCCGGGGAAAATAGAAGTTTGAAAGTCTGAATTATAACACCTCCTGTCAGACATTTTTTTAAGAATGACTAATTACCCTGCTACTTGATGATCGGGAAAATGTTCTGGGGAGAAGAACTGCCAAAGCGAGCTCAGACTAACAAATCCAAAGCAATACCAGTATAAGAGGGAAAACGTAGAGCCACCCGAGAATCGGTTAGCGACTGCAAACTCTAAGTTAAAGAAGGGTCGTTGATCAGCCGGATGGCTTTTCGTTTAACCCGATCAAGATAAGCAAGTGGGGTGGGAGACAAAGCACCACCCCACACGTGACTGCGATATTCAAGTGCAGGATAGATTTGAGCTTCGCGCAACAGAAGGTAAGTTGGGGTGAGGAAGTTTCTGTCGCGAAACATAAATCAATTCCGCGCGAAGCATGAGAAACAAACTGAAATATTAAGGCGGTCCAAGAGAAAGAAAATATTTTAGACAAGCCAAGAAGAGGGATAGAATCCATGGAATGCAGTACAGTTGAATCAAAGGATGAATGAGATGAGAACGAATGATCCTGCAAACAAATTTCGGGAAAAGAGATTCGGGAGCAATGAATGCAACTTTGGAGCCCCAGGATGAAATTGGACTGCGGTTACGATTAATGTTGCTGTTATCATGGAGAAAAGTGAGAGGAGGTGTCATCGATAAAGGAATGGATTGAGTTAGAAGTGGTGAATAGATGGCCAATAATAAATATTAGACCTAAAATGGGCTCAAGTACCGAACCTTGGAGAACGCTAGCATTCACAGAGAACGGCTGAGACAGAACCCCATCAACAGGGATGGAGATGGTTCACCTAATGAGGAAACTTGATGTTCACGACACGCGAGTGGAGGAGGATTTGAACGTGGCCAGTTTCGCCAGACGGCCTTCGCGTCGAAATCAGTCGGAGGTTCAAGGGATGTCAAGGGAGGCCATGTGGGTTTCTCCGTCGTTGTCAATTGTAGTCGACCAGATGTGTAAGACGACAACAAGGACATCACCAGTGGAACGGTGTGGTCGGAATGTAAAGTGGCAAATACTCACTAGTCTTCTGCGATTTAGGGAAGTACTCAATTGTTCGAAAATAATAGTTCCGAATACTTTTGGGAATATGAAGACGAAGGCTTGTTTTCAGGGGATCGGAAAAGTAGAATGTTGGAGGGTGAGACAGATAAGACGATGTAGGAGAAGAGGCCGATTCAGGGCACACATTTGTGTAGCGTCCGGACCTGGGTGGTTGGAATACATCCATAGAAAACAGCTCTTGGCCGAACTTGCTAGTGCTAATCAGATAGAAAACGGGGAAACGGGGTGGGGGAAGTAGGAACCGGAGGAGTAGGAAAGGAAGCTAAATATTAAAGCAAACACCTCTGCTTGCTGGAGTGATTCAACAAGAAGATCAGAGGATTTACCTGTGGGAGGGAAATTGGGAGGGGGAAATGCGAGGGATTGCTTGGTCAAGGGACCAGAATGCTCGGCTACCAGTGGCAGATGCGAATAAATGACCGGCTCTCAAGCGGACGAATCATTCTTCATCCTTGTGTACGGTTGACGGGCATCTAATCCTGGCTTGCAGAAAGCGATTTTGGGAGTCGGGAAGTGAAGAGCTGCCCCGGCTGAGAAATGTTGTACGGTCCAAATGTGCAACACGATTAGAAGAATAGCTAATGTAGGGCTTGGAAAAACGAGGAAAATAAAAACATATCTTGAAGAAATTTAAAACATTGGGTCCCTTTTATCCAATTCATGAGAACAGAGAGAAGACGTAAGTCGTGAGATGCAAGTATTTCGTTTACTCTTGTCAACCGTGGACGTAAAACGTGTCAGTATATATACATGGTACAGTAGGGGGGTAAGTACAACAGTTAAGTAGGCACGATCGAAAGCTTCTACAGTACGTACGTTGGGGACAGTGAAGTCTGTCGTGGTAACGCCAAAGTAAACAAACATTTTGGGTAAATCGTTTTTTTGCAGAGAGTGCTGGCTGATGCATCATGATTAGAATAGCTTCACTGAATGCTAATAGTTTCGGTGTTGGATTGCTCAACAATACTTTGAAACACTGGGTCAGGTCAACTTTGTGACCTGATGCAATCAAGTGTCTTCCAATCGAAAAAGCTGGCGGTTTCACGTCGTTGTGTATTGCCCCAGCAGGTTGCGTCATCAAGTTTGACAGCCATTTGGGTATGTGTTCTGACACTCGTTGAGTCAAGCAACGATCCGTCCTGCCATTGTGTGCGTTACCGCAACTGCAATTGAACTGATAGACAATATGTTGGACATTGGGATCAGCAAGACTGTTTGAGTGATTTTGAAAACATTACCTTTTGGTCGTCTGCAGCAAACGCAACTGCGCCGCTGTGTATGTGTGCCTAAGAGCTGACTTCAGATTACAATTTATTTGATTGAACAACTGATCTCCTTTAAAAGGCAAAGTGATAAAAACTTGCTTCTTTTCCACGTTCATTGTTTTCGCGCGCACAAGTCTCGGCCTCTGATATTGTCTGATAAAGTTCTCCGGATAACCGTTAGCCAGCAGCGTTCTTTTCATGAACTCCTGTTCGTTCTGTATTTGATCTTCTGTACAGATTTTCTGGGTTCTGTTGAAGAGGGTTCTGACCAAGCCACGTTTGTAAGCCACTGGGGCGAAGCTGGACAATTGTAAATAACGTTCACCCCACGTTGCTTTTCGGTGGATTCTGCGCTGTAGTGTCCCATCTTGACGCCTGGTCAATAGAATATCTAGAAAGGACAATCTGTTGTCGCGTTCTTCTTCGTGAGATACACTGAGGTTCGGGTGAATAGAGACAAGAACGTTAACAAAAGAGATAAAACATTCAGACGGTACATGGATGATATTTTAATTTTTACCTGATGTTCGAAAATACGAAGTCAAACCTCAATGAGTACTTAATGTTGGGCTAATGATAAACAGTACAAAGGTGATCAGAGCATCATCTGAATTTCACGACTGGAGAAATCAAAAGTTTGGATTCCGGATTTGGTGATTGGCTGGTGGACGAAAGTACAGACCCGAAATGTCGATGAAAAAGAGTAGTGCAGTTTATAGTTGAGAAAATTGGTGGAGGTTGGTGTGCGATGAGCGGAAGATTTGAGTTTCGGTCAAAATAGGGCAAGAAGAAGGAAAGGTTGGAGAAATATATGTACATAAGTGATGTTATTGATTATTTGACGAACGCTGGCTAGGGTGATATGTTCATGCTTGTTTTTTTTAGTGAGCAGAGCGAGCAACCGTACGATTACGTGTATGATTTTGTATTTTCATGATTCATAACTCGGAGGAACGCAGCATCCGTTATTCTGAGACTTAAAATCACGAACCACATAGGACCTCAGCAGATCAGGCGTGGAAGTGATTGGAGCAACAGCAGTGCTGTTTATCGCTTCTATTCATGCAAAGCTCCTCGTATGCAGTTAACAGCTATTGAATTCCTCATCATTATCAATGGCTTACGAACCTGTGAAATTGAGGGCTTCGCGATTAAGACAAAGCGTACTCAACAGTTTAATTATAAGAGCTACTTACCCGGTTAAAATTGTCGAACACGGTCGGGAGCATGTGATAATTATATCAGACCGCTATGAAAGTGCGTTGTGTTACGTTTATTCTCAGAAGCGAATTTCCTAAATGAACACGCATTTCGGAGGAGCGTAGAAGGAGTGCTTATTTATTCGTGTAGTCTCATTTAACCTTCTGTTTTATCGAATAACTTTCGAGGCAAATGTTTCTAGTCACAAACGATCGATATTATGTTCGCGAGATTTTTACAGTCAACGTTGATGTACTATGTCACGTGTCTGATCTGCATCACTTTTATCATAGGGTTGGAATAATAATATACGATAGCCGCCTATTTTTCTGATGACACTTACCTGTGAAATGTATTATGTAGAAACTGAAATGTGGGGCTCCATTTTCTACCCATTTAGTTCAATACCGGCTACCCGGGGACAATCGGGAGCATTTCTCGACCGTCGTCAAATAGCAGAGTTTCATTCTCATTGATTACTGTGCTCGGCTTATGTAACGTTCTGTCAATAGAATTCTATTGACGAGTGTGCCCGAGCTTCACAGTGCCATGTAGATGTCAAAATATATTTATTTGTAGACTATTCACTTTCTTCACGAATTACGAGCAGAAGAAAGAGGTACAAGTGTTGTGAAGATTCTCTAGAAAAACAACTTTTATTTCACTGGATAACTGTTTTTTTAATTCGTGAGTGTTGATTATTACAAGTGGTTTATTCATGAAATTATTTTGAATTTATAATTTGTTACTGAATTCCTGGTAACTCGTAAACAGTTCAAAACGATGTGCTCATAGCTAAAGCAGTAAATCTGCCTGAAGTGTAGAAAAATAATATTAGTTGCATATTGATTAAGGATAAATTTTGAGTTCATGGTGATGCAATACACTGAATGTGATTACAGCCACTGATGCATGTGAGTTGTTCTTATCAGAAGCATTTGTGTACCTGGAGTGTATACCATATATGTGCC